TCTCCGCTGCTCCTGGCCCTCTGCTCCCCTGCCCAGCTCCTCCCTTGCCTTCGCCAGGCCCCTGGCCACTCAGCACTCTCTCCCAGCCTGTGCCTCTGCTGCTCTGCCAAGAGGCCAGAGCCAAAAGCAGTGGAAGGAGCACTGAATGCTGTGGAAGGAGCACTGGATTGCTCCCTTGTAAGAGCATTCTATTTTACAGGTTGCTATGGGTTTCATCTTTAGCATCTTGAAAAAGGATGGGAAATAAATATTACAATAAATAAACAAATGAATGTCATCAATCAGACTTCTGTTGGCTTGGAATGAAGAAAGAGAACAGATCCAACCGTACAGAAGTTTTTTTTTAAATGTTGGGCTACGTTGCGCCAAACCTAGGCAGGGTTCGCGTGTCACAACAGACCATTTTTTTCAAATTGTGGGTTACGGGGAATGAGACGGAGCACTGGTGTACACTGCCTGAGCAGTCCTGCTACAAATGAGAGTAGCTGAACCAGGGGCAGTCAATGGTTAAACTAGGGGTCATCCAGGTGGCTCCTGTGGGCACCAGCACACCTTTCTCAGCACCAGGGAGAGGCCCCGGTGCCTCCCTCACTTTACTACTACTTTGGAACAACCTGGTTTCTTAATGGCAGCTGGGATCACTTCAGGGTGAGAGGAGGGGCCCTCACTGCTGCCCCCTTCTTTTCCCACGGACATCTCCGGGCCATATGTGGCGTCAGGAAATGAAGGTGGCAGGTCACTGCAGGCCAGAGCTTTCGTCCATGACATGCCTGTTTTGTGGAGAAGCCCAGGACAGTTTCTGAAGCGACCCGATGTGCCCGTGGGACTCAGAAGTTTGCCTAACAGGCTAGCCAAACAACGGACCGTGACTTGTTTATATGCACATGTGAATCGGGAACTCCAGTACACACCTCCCTTGGTGCGAGGAATGAAAGAGGCAGTTGTTCTTGGTGAAAGTTTCAAGGTTAGGAAAATTCAGACTCTTCGGATGGGGATGATGTGTCCTGGGAAACTGGGCCTCCTGAGATGGGAGAAGGGTTGGGCTCATCTCAAGGCCACCCCCTCTAGGTGTTCAGGTGGACTCTGAGGATGGCAGGATTCCTCTTCTGTAACTGTTGTGCTTCAAGCGGTCATCTGTGCATTCATACACATGGGCTCTTTGTGCTCGTGTGGAGCCGTTTGCAGGAAGATTCCAAAGCTGATTAATTAGCATTTAGTGGGAATTGAACTGGTGCGAGGGGCAAACCGGTCTTGCATTACCTTCTTTATCTTTGTACAGAAGATAAACATGCTGCTGACTTTCAATTATATTTATTTATAATATTTATATCCCACCATTTTCCCCAGAAGGAACCCAGAGCAGCTTCCAAAAGACTTCCTCCTCCTGTCCATTTTTTTCCTGTGAAGTAAGTGAGGCTGAGAGTGAGTCCACCACTGGTCCAAGATCATCCAGTGAGCTTCGTGGCTGAGTGGGGGCCAGAACTTGGAGCTCTTGAGATGCAGCCCAACACTCAAACCACTACACCACAGTGGCTTCTTAATTCCACAAAGCAGCTGCCTGTCCTCACTTATATGCACCTGGAACCCTTCAGGGAGCACAATTTGCCTGTCCAGTCACAACAGCTCGTAACTCCACTAGTTGCATTCCTATCTTCCTCAGCCCTGCTCTATAAAATTACTGAGTTGAGCAAGAATATCTTCCACCACTTCTGGAAGACACATAGTGTTGGTCTTTGTGAGTATCCCACACAAGGAAGAAAGTTCCAAAGCCACTGTGAGCATCTTTCTGTATGTCCTTGGAAGTCTTGATGCTGCACCTGGAGAAAGCTTAAGAGGGCATTCTGGTTGGCTGGTCTCTTGGAAAAAGATCCAGTTCATAATTACTGAATTAGGGACGACATCCAAAGATTGACTTTAGCAAGATCTGGTAAAAAGGCTCTGCTTCCCAAAGAGTATCTCAGCGGAGGTTTGAAGTCCTCGCTGTGCAACTTTCAAACAAACAAAACCTCTTTTGCTTACTATACGCTTTGGTATTTAAGTGATCTCTCCTCACCTTTTGTTCCTGGCGCTGACTGCGACTCCTGGAGTTGATTCACTGCTTGTCCTGGATTATCAGTCAGATTGATTCAGCCTGAAATACTACTTTTCAGTCTGCTGACTTGAAAATCCATCCATTCAAGCTTCATGATCTTTCTAATAGTTTTTCCTCCGAGTGCAAACAACAGCAGGATGACAGGCTAAAGGACTGCAAGTGGCTGAAAACTGTTCTGGCACCACATCACTTTCCTGTGACAGAGAAGCTTGGCCATGATGGATTTGTTTACATGTGGAGTTTGAGGGCATTTCTTTTGATTTTTCGTTTCTACTATAAGTGCAGATAGACAGATCTGCTTCGGGACCCAAGTATGGGAGTAGGGCTGCTTTAACCTTTCCCCACTGCACCCAGTACAAGCATGGCAAATCTGCAATTTATACCCCAAAAGGGTGACCCATTTTTCTTTGGGAATGTGAGGAATGATAGCATTCCAGGGGGAATTAGGGAAGCAATCACCTACCTGACCCACTTCTCTAGCACATTCCTTACCCTTATTTGGTAAACACCAATTCCCTGCCTCTGTCTTTCTCTGCTCTCACTGTGGTTCTTCGGAATAATCTGCTGGTCCATACGCTAGGGGATGGGCATACGGACTGGCACGCCTTGCCTTTGGTGAAATACATGTGCTACAATCGATCCTCTGTGATAATAATGTGAATTCTCAGACTAACTTAACACGATGAATTACAAAGGTGCCATATCTCTGAGAAAGATCCTGTACTTCCATGCTTGTCATGTGTGTACACGTGCAAGCATGTGTGAACGAAGAGATGGGATCACATTCCTAGAGACAGTGCCCTTGCTGCAGATACACCAACACACAGGAGAGCAACAGAGGCAAACCAAACAGATGGGCCGCCTCTTTGGATGACTGGCGCCTAGCAGGAGTCAGCCACTTTCCATGAACTTATCCCCCTGCTACTGATGACACATCACCACTGCATGCGTGGCGGGGCGGGTGGGTGGGTGGAGAACGAGGCTGCCCTCATGGAGCCAGCTGGTGCAAATCAGGCGAACCCACTCTGGAATTCCTGGGCCCTTCCAGATGTTTTGGCATAAGATTTTGATCAGCCCTGGGAAGCATCACCGGTGAGGGATGACAGGAGCTGCAGGCCAAAACATTTGGAGAATCACAGGTTGGACACCCCTGCCCCTACCCTGGAAACTTTTCATTTATTTACAAGATTTATAGCTTTCTTCTGTTTTCCTCCTGTTGCTCTCAATCTCATCCCGCACAACGACAGTTCTGTGAGGGAGGCTGACTGGCCCAGTCACTCAGTTGGCTCCATGGCTGAGTGAGGCCCAGAACCCAGTTACCTGAGTCCCAGTCCCATGCTCTTAACCACTGCCCCACACTGGTTCCCATTTATGGTGCCTGACGCAGGTGAAGTTCACTTTCCATCATTCACCCCATCCATTGTAGCTGTATATTGTATACACCATAAAATCTAGAACTTTAACATTATTTTTAACAGTTTTTAGACATGGACCCACTTGTGACCTCTCCCCAGCCTGCAACATGGGACCTTCTAGATTATCATCATCTACACCAGATGTCCTCAACATGGTGACTCCAGGCATCCCTAAATCTCCTTTTTCTCTTCCCCATTTTTAAATATGCATGGATCTGTATACATTTATAGCAACAAAGGCATATGAAATGCATACAGCTTTCCAGCAATTATACAGAAGCTTCAAGAAATGTGGATCAGATATTCAAAATCTGAAGGTGATGTCTGTATGCCACCCATTCAAATATTGAAAGTCCCCATTCCTCTGCATTACAGAAGGTGAATATTTATACTTTTGGTGCTTTAGGTGTCAGAGGGGTGCAGGGAATCCATTAATGCTTGCAATTGGTTATTTTTCCGGAAGTAAATAATTCAAAGAGCAAGTACATCAGTGAATATTAAAGCTGCTATAGTGCACAACCCTGATATCTTCCTCCTAAGAAGGATCAACTGCTTGATATCGCCAAAACACATTTAAAAGAAGCATTAGTTGGACTCCAATACCAGCAGGGAACCAAGTAAGACAATCCCCTATTAAAGAGATGTGCTGGTATCCAACAGGCACAAAGCTTGTTTGTTAGTTTGCTTTGTCTGAGTAGGTTGTAGCCTAAATTCCATAGAAATGACAGGATTCCATGGAATTTAGATAGGAAGCAGCAGTCTACTCATTAGGCAATTTGTGGGGACTGTTTTCGCAAATACTCAAAGGTGAGCTCAGGTCCAAAGTTATTAGGGATCTTTGACCTATGTTCACCTTTGTCCTTTCTAAAGTTACCATAACCAAAGGAGAGAAATGGAGTTCCCCCAGAAGGAGAAATTCTGATGGATATGGTGTTTTCATCCCTTCATTGTGAGCTGGACTGTTAAAAGCCCCAACAGGAGCTATGGGGTCCTGAGCACTCTTACCCTTGGCTCCCCACATTTCCTTAGGTTCCACTTTCTTTCCCTTAAAACACAGCTAAAGAAAATGGTGCCCGTTGCTCGTGTAACCCATCTAGACTGGAGTGTGACTCCCATGTGGGTCTGTACCCACCAGCTGAAGACCACTGGCCTAGAGTTCTTGTGAGGTCCAGGGATCTTGAACTGGGGATTTTGTCCCCAGGCACCTCAGCTCTTTGTGCTACTGCCACAGAAGGTGGCACTCCAGTCCATCAACATGATGGGTTCATTCTCAGTGCATGCAACTTGTCACATCAGTCTAGAGCAAGCTGTTCTCAGGTGGCCCATCCCAGCTTGCCAGTGTGACTACGTAGACACTGATTGGCTATCCTGCTGATTGGCCTGCCCCAGTGCAGCACCACCAGACTTGATAGTTCCGTCTCATAATCAGTTTAAGCTACATTTACTCTTCCACTTCAGTGCAGCCAAGTGATGCAGCCAGGTTTCATACTTACCAAACCCCGGGGTTCTGTTAGCTAGGCTGGAATAGGCATTCCCACTTGGAGAAGACGTGGCAGGGCTGGACAAGGGGCTGTAGGACGCTGGGTCAGCAGGGTAAGTATGACTGGTTCCAATAGCGAAGGGCGAAGACTGAGCCTTGCCAGACTGAGAAGGAATTTGCTGCATATGGAGGGAAACAACAATGACATGAAGATGTGTTCTTTTCCTGCAGGTTTTGACAAAGGAATGAAGTGGCGCCACAGAACTCCAGTCTCGGTGATGAAACCCCAGTTGCAAAATAAGCAACTCGGTAGAGCTAATGAGGCAGAATGTTTTCTGCCTTATGCTGTAGCAATGAGGGGCACAGTCATTTAAGTTCAAGAAGTCTAATCTCCTGTATGGGGCTGTCTGTAACTGCTCCCTCCCCCAATTATTTGTTCTCCATGCCACTTTTTCTCTCCAGTTTTTGTGGGGCCACCAGGCCAGATGCCGCGTCCAACGTCCCCTCTACTCCTGACCGCTGTCATTACTGCTTAGTTGTTGTAGTGACATTTCTTCCCCTTGTCTTTGAGATCTCCATCTTTTCCTGACAACCCCACTTATTCTTCCTCTCCCAGTGAGCCCATACAAAGCAAGCCCTGTTCAAAACTTCCATACCTGCCCTGGAAACGGAGGGCGAGTTCCCGTCCAGGCAACTTGGCTCTGATTTAGCTGCCGAGAGATTTGCGTCAGGTTCTGGCCTGTCGACGAAGAGGATTGGATGTCGTTGACTCCAGGAACATGGACCACAGAGGAGCTTTGGAGAGGAAGAACGGAAATTGACCTATTAATTATTTCTAATGTTTATAAACCACTCTCCATCGGCAAAGGATCCCATGGTGCTGTGCACAACATTGGAAACAAATCCATTGTTGTACTGCACTACTGCACTGAAGAAGACACAGGACATTCATGCACGAATATTAAATGGTCCTGATACAGATGTTCAGATATATAAAAGGGACTGGGAGAGAAGATGATGGCGTCATGGTGAAAGTACCTGAATGCTCAGTGTTGCCCAATAATACTTGGGAATCCCTTTTCAGCCAAAGGATCTTATTCTCACCTGGCTAACTTTCTGGAGCAAGGGCCAAATCAGAAGGTGGGTGGAGCCACCCCATCTCTCATTCACAGTTGGGGAGTCAAGTGAGGCTCACAGCAAAGCAACACCGGCACCTTTTCAGTAGCAGAGATGCAACACCATCTGCCCTTCCCCACTGAATTCTCTGGTCCCTCCAAGCTTTGCTGCAATTCACACAGTAGCGGGAAGGAATCTATATATTCCCTGCTGTAACAGAAAGCATGTTGGGGTGGCCTGGTCTTGAATGGGGATGTCAGATCCATTTGCTTGACAAAAGACCTGCTCCTGGTGGAGACGGAAACACCTAGAACTGGTTTGCTGATACAGATCAACACAGGTCCCTGCTATGGCTACATGAGACAGCTGCCCACACTTCAAAATCCACCGCTGCTCCACTGCCATGGCAAGTAGGAATCTGTGTGTGCGTGTGTGTGAGAGAGTGATCATGGGGAGGGGTCTTAAAATTCTCTTGTCTGCTTTTCTCTGCCCTCTCTTGGATCTCAGGAAACAACTGAGCATCCACAAGCTGGGAACTGCTCCGTCAGCGACTCCCTCCTCAAGGGCCTCCAGATGTCTCGAGATTGTCCCCACACCCCAGTGAAGGAGGTTTCTTTTGCTGCTGCCCTTCCTCTGGAAAAGGCAAGGGGAGCCTTTGCTGAAGCCCCATAGCAGAGTACTGGTCATGCTCTGAGCCACTGGCCACTGCTGGACTAGCCATCCAGAGATCCTTGCTTGTCCTGGGGACAGGACTTCAAGGGAAGGGTCTCAGTGGGCCACCTGGGAGAGTCGCCTCACAGGCCGGATGTTCTCCACTGCTGTTCTGGAATGGGTGAGAGGAACGATTACCTGCTCTCAGAGATACCCCCCCCCCCCGCCCCATATACATCTTTCAGCTAAATAGACGTGCTTCTGGGTTGGAGAAAGCAGCCCCAGAGTCAAGACTCATGCAGAACCAGAACAAGCGAGCTCCTCTGATGAGGGACAAATTCTGCCATACGCCTGCATGATCCATCTGATCCGATGGAAGAATTTTCTTCACCTCCTGCAAACAACTTATTACAAGAGGGCAAGACCAAGACGAGGAAATCACGGGGAGAAACAATGGACACACTCTTTTGTAGGCAGGCTATTTGGGTTTGCGGGAGACTTTGGCTTTGCCGTTGATGCAGGCTTGTGTATCCTGGCAGCCAATTTTGGGAAAGTGCTGCACTAAAGAGCCAACCAAGATTCCCGGATGGCCTTCCTGAGTCATGATTCTGCAAGAGGCTCCAGTTGCTGGACCTCTGTGTTCTGCTGAAAGCACATTAGGGCCCACAGGCCTACAGGATGCCTGTGCGAGGTGTACATAGCACCCAGCTGAACAGTTCAAGTGTTTGAACGGAGACGGGTTTGCTCGTTGCCTTTATTTATTTATTTTTGAATGTGTATGCTGCCCACAACTGCAGATGGATTCTCTAGGCAGCTCACAGTTGCTATGCATACCTGAGAATGGGAATATGCAGGGGATAAATATCCAGTTTTCCCCCAGGATGTTTTCTACTCTCCTTTGCTATGTCTTACAAAGTTTCACGTATGGTAAGAGTTGCCACCATCTTCTCTTATAGAGCTCCTGAAACTTTAAATCGTATAAAAGCAGCTAAATCCCACAAGTGCAAATGTTCCCAGCATGTTGCTCTAGTAATAGACAGTTGTTATATTAATATGAGAGGCACCTCGCAGTGTTCAAAAGGCCAGCGAGCTTACAATCCGAAGAGGTTCAACAGGAACAGAGAAGGAGGGAAACAGAGGCCAAGAAAGCAGCAAAATCAGTCATTGTTTCACTTACCCATTTTCGGACTTAGCAATTACAGAAAGACATCTCATATATAAATAGAAGCCTTATTTTTACAGCTCCTCCACAGAAGCGCTTGCTACTCTGATATTTATTAAAGGCATCTGATAACTCACTCCCCCAAGAGAAGAAAGCTATTTTTTGGAACTCCATGATTATACCATGCACAAAAAGCAATATATACCTTTTGATTTTACTTCTTCCTGTTTTATGTTGCAAGGACATGCCCCTGAACAGGACAGAAGGAAAATCTACGCATAGCCCTCAAGATGCCAAACCTCAGAACTGCAGTGTGAAATTCACAGCCCTGAAACACGGCTGAAGCTTCCCATACTGGGCCTAAGTGAAAGCATATTTTAATCCTGCCAATATCCTCTAGGGTTGATTGGTTTTTAACTTGGGCAATAAACTTCAAGGAAACTTCCTTTTTCCAAGAAAAACACTTCTATCCCAACTACAACACTATCAGTTCTAGGCAGTACACACTAAATCTTTTCAAATACACAGCATTTAAATTCAAATCTCTCCTGTGTAACTAACTGTTATGAATTGTGTTCTCTTTCTCCCTCTGTCTCTGCTACCTGGGGCTGTAATCTTAAATCTAGGGCTGCAACTAACCTAAAAAAGTCTTAGTTGATTAACTCCATGAGTTTTAGTTGATTCAGCATCAGTTCTGTTTCTATATATTTGCACATGAGCAAATGAAGTGCTTTGTTTCTAGACAAGGGTCTGCATACACACATCGGTTAATTCCATTTAAGAGGAGGCATTCATCCTATGCAAGGGAGAAGCCATGCCTCTTTTTAGAATGGCATCTGTATTTTGCATTTTTATAGCTGTTTTTTAAAAAATGATAAGTCAAGTGTACATCTTACTGAAAAAAGACTGAGGACTGGCATTCAAGCTTTTATTATCATTTCTCGGAGTAGATCAGGAGTAAATCTGAGGAGTAAATCTAAAAGCTGGTGCAGTGTAGACGCTGTAGGATAGAGCCACAGATCAGGAGGTTCCCAGTTCAAATCTTGACTCTGCTATGAACATATTAGATAGCCTTAACTATACCCCTCTTGCTCTCTCTGAGCCTCAGTCTCCCCATCTGCAATATGGGGCTAAAAATACTAGCTAACTATAAGGATTACAACTCCGTAACATTTGTGGAGCACTTTGAACACTTTGGCACTTTCAAACATGCAGCAGCCTGGCCCTGGATGCTTATGGGCTGTAAGAATCTGATAGGTCCATACTGGTTGAGGGTGCAAATATCAGCAGTTTACTGGCTTTCAAAACCCCAAACCAGCTGTTGAGCAGAAACAGTCAAACTCTAGCAGTAGATGATTTGAAAGTAGCATTAGACTCCTCCAGAACAAAGTGGTCCCTGGACTGTGGCAACAACAATTGTTTCCAACAGGAAAAATTATATCATCATGTTGCTAAAGAACAAGGACAGCCATTTGGTAACTGCCTTTTCTGTGACTGCCTTTTCTTTGCAGCAATTCAGTCCACTATGATGTACCATACCTGAAAGATTTCCCAGAATGTCCTGGTTGGAAGGGGCTTCCTTGGGAGTAGATCTGTTGGTTTCCCGTCGTGGATGCTGAAGGCATCATCTTTTTATCAGCTACAAGAACAACCACAGAAAGGGAAGTTTCCGGCTGACAGGATGTATTTATTTGCATCGATCCAAGATAATTCCCCCGCCTCCACCTTTCCTCCAAGGAGCCAGAGGCAGTGCACATGACCCCCTCCTTCTCATTTTATCCTCACAACAAGCTTGTGGGGTAGGTCAGGCTCCAAGTCAGTGACTGGCCCTAAGACCCTCACTTAACTTCATGGATGAGCGGGGCCTAGAACCCCAGTCTCCTCAGTCCCAGTTCAGCACTCTAATCCCTGTGCCTCGCTGACTCTCCACTGATGGAATCGGTGATATCTGCACTCTACGTAGTAGTGGAAAGAGGCTTCCTATTCTAGTCCCTTGTAACAAAACACAAGCAAAAATCTGGCAGGAGTCCCCTTGCAGAGCACAATAGGAAATACTGTGGCTATTCAAAGGATTTCTTTGGGCCAAACAAAGCCTCCAGTTAGAGCAGCTGGATTGCTGCTGAATTCTTACACCTGGTTATGAAGCGATGCTCAACCCGCCCAATGGCTGGAGGCTGGAGAGAAGAGAAGGAGTGTCTGATCATCTCGAGAACTCCAGAGGGTTGGATTTGGCCCCTAGGCCAGAACTCCAGCAGCCCTAGAGTAGACTGGGGCAGACCAGAGGATGTGGCCATCTTGGGAGAGCAAGATTCCCAATCCTCTGGCCTGAACTATGGCAGCTTCTTATGTTCCTGTACTCTGCATTGACCCAAGCTGCTCCTACTGGAGGCCGGATGTGTGTGCTTTGGAGGACGAGCCATGACGCAGGCAAAATGCAGCCAGTCCTGTCTGTGGCTGATCTCACTAGTGATGCTGCACGTGCCAAGCAGCTCTTTTGCCTGGCGCTTGGTTCCTGCAGGAGTGAATCACAGGTAGAGACAGTTGAAAACAAGTTGCTGACCAGGGAAGCGTGCTGTACTGTACAGTTCAGTTCAGTTCAAGTTTATTTACCTTGGCCTTCAGCCATAGCAAAGCACATGACTATAAAATGCATTAGAGGCACCACGATGATATTACACAGAAATGCATCTTCACCAAAGACATTGCATAACTGTTGGAAACCGTTTCCTGGGATATTTATGTAATGATGCTCATATTTCAAATTTGCAGTCAAATAGTTTGAAAACTCTGGCAAAACAAAAAGGGCTATATTTTAAGGGAGGGTGAGGTGGTGGACAGACGAGGCCTGCATGTTCTCAGCGTGTGGTTGTCTTTGAAGGACGGTTTTCAATGAGCACAAAATAGGGACACCTAAGTACGGAGAAGCTAGGTCACATCAACTGTCATCTCTGTTGTATCAGTGAACCTGGTTGCCAGTGTGTTTCTGGGCCCAGTTTAAGATACTAGTGCTGACCTTTGAATCCTTAGACCAACCCTTAAACCACCTCATGGGGTGGTTTTTATGAAGATAAAATGGAGAGGAAGGAGAAACTTGTAAGCCACCTTGGGTTCCTTGAAAGAGAAAGAAAAGCAGGGTATAAATGTGGTGAGGTTGATGATGCTAAACCACGGATGGGGACCTTTGGGGGGGCTGCATTGCCCCCCTGAGCCCAGCAGAAGATGCCCCCCTTGTGGGTGATTGTACTCTCACACCTGTGGCAAAAATCATGGCAACTCTGCAGGCAAATATGTTGGGTGGGGAGCGTGTGCTTTGGCACAACTGCACTTTAGGGAATGCGATTCTGCCTGCAAAGAAGAAATGTGCTCTCCATGCCCACCGCATGCCTGCAAACTTGTCGTGATTTTTGCCATGGCAAATTCGACAACTGCACAGCAGCAGCAAGGAAACACAGCAGAGACACAGCCATTGCCATGGAAGCCACAGGCAGCTCATGGGTCTTGTGTGGCCCATCCTGCTCACAAATGCTTTTCTGGGACACCTTGGCCTGCACCAAACCGAGATCAGCACTGAACGACCTGCTTGCCTGCCTGCCTGGCAGAGCTGCTGCACCGACAAGCAGAGGCACAAACCTTTGTTGGTAATGGCCCCTCTCCCCATGGTTGTTTGCTAGGCCCCATCAGTGCAGCCCTAAAGTCTTACCTCTTCACAGTGACCTATAACTGCGTTAGGGTTTCACCAGGCACTATTGTTCACATTATGCTATCTGGTTTTTCCTGTTCTTCTTGGTTTTTTAAAATCATTTTTGTGCGCAGGATTATGATTTGGAATCTTGCTGTTGGCCTTCTCAGATGGGTCCTGCCTAAAGCAACTTGTAGACCAAAACCTCTGGAGGGCCAGAACCAGCCAACAGAGTTAACAGTGGAGGATAACGGGAGTTGTCAGTCAAAGCAGTTGGAGGGCCCCAGGTTGCCCACTCATGCCCTAAAGGTGCTTACATGCCCTATAAATAGCTAAATAAATGGAACTGGGTTGTTGAATGCATAAAATGGGATCCTGTGTACTGCCTTGAGAACTCTGGAGGAAAGCAGGAGGAAAGTGTAATAAATGCATTAAAATGTTTTCATTTGCCAGTTACAGTTCTACCTTTTGTGCAATAGACATGCAACCGCCCCAGAATCTGTGGAAGGCAGCTCCATCCTGAAATCTTTAAAACTGGATATACATGTAATGCCAGAAATCACAGTTAAAAAATAACAACCCACTAACAAGAAAGCCACACATACTCATACACACACAGACACAATCTGGACCACATGAACTGAAGTCCAGGTTATATAAGGATGCTTTTTACACATGCTTCCCAAAGGCAGTAAATCCATACAATCTGAATAATATTAAAGTGCACAGTGAAATTAGAAAATGCTTGACAATCACATGAATTTATACAATAAGAGTCCCTATTTTAGATCCTTTCTTTGCAGCATGAGGCCAGTAACACAGCCTGGTTGCCAAGAAAAGCCACCTTACGAAGTTTCCTCAGGAAATCTGATTTGAGCCATTTGGCTGGGTGTTTCCACAGGGGGAAGTTGCCGAGGGGGAATTCCTTGTTTCTCTATCTGGAGGTTGTGTGAGTACAGGAATATATATAATTTCTGTCTTGTAAGTCCTGTTGCTTATAAACACAGGACTGTATCAATAAGGGAACTTCTTCTTGCTAAGATTACGTGCTTGACGGCTACAGAGCCAATGTCCCTGCTATGATGTACTCCTCTGTGTCAGCTCCAGCTATTTGCACAAAGTAAACCAGAGAAAACCCATCCAAAATCAACACAATATGGACTCTTCAGAATAACATGAAGGTTTGCCTGCATATTTCTGGCCACATCTAAGGGCCAAAACAAGGCGACGTTTTGCCAATACGTGGATGACTCCCAGCTCTGCCTCTTCTTGTCTCATCCAGGAGAGGCAGGGGGCATTCTGAACCTGTGACGGGCCAGGTAGTCAGAATCAGACCCCTGTGTGCAATCCTCGCTTGCAGGGAAAGCACAAATGGTAGGAATGGAGGAAGGCAGGATCTGCTCTATCAGAGCATTGGCCCAACTAGCTCAGTTAATCGGCACCACTTCTTCCAGGGTTTGGATGGGATTGCTCAGGGCAACACCGCCTGAGATCATGGCGATCACGATTCAGGCTCCCTGCATACAAAGCATGTGGTTCTACTACTGAGCGATGGGCCTTCCCTTAAAAGGGAAGGTGGTGCTGGCCCTCCTGGGGTCCCAATCCAATTTGCCAAATTTCCCCATCTGTTCATGTCCCCTCCCCTCCCCTCCCCTTTGTAGGCCTTTCCACAGCCCATTAACTCCAGTATAAGAGGCAGTTAGTGGGGTGAAGAGTGGGATGGTGTCACTGCCCACATGTGGGCGTCCCAGAGACATCCGCTTCGCCACGGCTGCCGTGCAGTTCTGGAACCTGCCTTTGGTCTGATCCAGCCTGGCCCTGCTCTCATTCTCACAATGGAAGGCCTGGAGACCGTGGCTGCGATCTGCACAACATGTTGCTGTGGGAGCATCCCTCTATCAAACTACGCACCCACTCCTTCCTCCAGCATGTGGCTCGCTGCCAAACTGGGCCTCCTGGTATTAAGCGCAAGGGCCTGGTCTAGCCAAGATGCCCCCCTCCCAGACTCATGGAAATGCTGTATGAAACGAAACAACTCGTGTGAAGGAGGATACACAGTTCATTGAGTTGACCTTTGAAATGGCGTGTGCATGTGCGCATGCACACATGTCTATGTGCTTGGCACCTCATCATGATGCATCAAGCACTTAAATCCAGAATGAAGGGCCATGACTAGAAGCAATAAAAAACATCTGCAGTGCAAGGAACTTTACTTACAGGTCGTGATGCCAGCAAACATCTCAGCAAACCTTGGATCCCTCTCTTGGGAGAAGATGGCATCTGGCTTTTCCACTGGCTTCCCACCCTCATGAACATTTGACTGAATACTTGGAACAGGTACCTGTTTGGGAGGCATGGAGAGAGAAATGACACTGTTCCGCAACAGTGAGGTTCTGCCCAGCTGTTCTGAGTACTCTCTCTCCCTCCAGCAGACCCAGACGCAACTTTAGAAGTACCACACTTTTATTACAACTTAACAGGTCACAGAGCAGTATAAATCAGAGCCTTTTCCTCAAGATGTGGGAGAATCATCTGCTCATGTAGGGGAAGTGTGACCCCATCCAAGACAGGACAATGGCCATCTAGTCTGTCAGACAAATCATTAACCAACAGCACTTCCATCTTGCCAGGACTGAGTTTCAGTTTATTGATTTTAATCTAGAGATCAAAACTGTTACTATTCCATGTGGTTTATTCATTTGTCTGCTACATTTATACGCCACCTTTCCCTCCAAAGAGCACAGAAACATACATGGTTGCATTGGCTGGGCTCTACTGGAACAATGACAAGGAGGTGCTGATGGCAGGTCAGGGGCATGGGGAATCTTCTCAGCACCCCAAAACCAGGACTATTTCTTGATGGCATGCCAAGGCCTCATGGTTAGGAAGTGCACTGCGAGGTAATGGCCCTGAAGCGGCCTTCCTGGTATTTTCTGCAGGGGAGGGCTGCTTTGCCGTGCCCCTCCCCACCTTTTCCCAGGAAGTGGGAAATACTGTGTGTACACTGGCAGAGTCCGCAGCAGTGGGACAGAAATACTTCACAAAAGCTGTGGCCTGCCACTTGGCTTCCCCTCCTGTTGGAGGAAATGAAATGGCCACCAAGAAGAGGGCTGTAAGCGTTCTTTTGCTTGTTTATATTCAGAGTCCTTGTTGCCTCATTGCATCCAATAGACTGTATATAAACTTCAGCACAGGTGTATATAAACTGTATATAGGCAGACAAGGCTAGGGCATTGTTCTGATCCCTCCCTCCCTCTTCCTCCCTGCTGCTTTGGAAAGAACTGCAGCCATGGATTCCCAAGCTTGCTGAAGTGACCTGGACAGCCTCCAGGAAGGAGAAAAGAGCACATCCCAGTGGGACAGGAAAGGATCAGCAGGGAGAGGCAGGCATCTGCTGGATCCTGCCCTGCTCCTGGCAGTGCCGCTTTTCTAAAGAGGCTCAAGGCCCATCTAGAGAAGAAAATGCAAAGGGAGGATGAAGAGATAAAAAGCACTTTCTATCACTTCTCCTGCCCTGTCAGCGGCGACCAGCAGAGCATAAGATACTCAAAAGCACAGATACTCAGGACTCAGTCACCCTCTATCTGCTATACTGCTAGTGTTGCTTATTTAATGCCTTCTAAAGGAAAGGGATCTTAACAATTGCTGCATCTCAGAGCAGGAATTTAGCTATTCTTTGTACAGATGACAAATATGCCAATTTCAGTCACGTTTTTGTAGCCTTACATTAATTCCATTCTGCTTTAAAATCCATTTTTTAAAGGTTTGCATGAAAATGCATAACCATTTCTTTGGCATTGATATTATATGCATTTTTGTACACAATGTTGCCTAGCACATGCATTTTCGCAAGTCATTTCCCTAAGTGCAATGACTCTCTGGATAGTAATTTCACTAATATAGTCATTTTCTCCTGTGCTTCCCTTAAGATATGTAACTTTTGTTTGGAGAGAGTGATTAAAAAATTCAGCAAAGTGTGCACAGCAGGACAGCTGCATGTTCATTCAGGCATTGCTTCAGGAAAAGCAAATGTAAAAGCAAACCCAGTGAAATTACCATGACTTGCATGATAGCTGTGAATCCAAGGAAGACAAGGCCACTCAAAGAAGAAACTACAGTGGTACCTCGACTCATGAAATTAATCCGTTCCAGGACTCTGGTCGTGACCCAAACTGGTTATGAGCCGAGTCGAATTTCCCCATAAGGTTCAATGTAAATAAGGTTAATCCGTTCTGTAAATATTTTTTTTAATCACAGGGAAGACGGGTATGATCGCGGGCAGGCTCGGGGGGGAGATGGATGCGATTGCGGGTGTGCTCACGGGGGCGGGGGGTAGACAGGTGCGATCGCAATCGTCACCCAATGTGGAGTTCGCAATCTGAGGAAAAATTTTCCTAAAATTTCTGTTCACGACCCGATTTAGTCATGAACTGAGGCATTTGTGAGCCGAGGTACCACCGTATAGCAATAAAACACAGAAGGTGGAAAACATGCAATATTTGACAACAACGACTTGATTCAGATAGCACAACAAGCTACAAGGTTCTGTATGGGTTGTCATTGAACCATGGGTTGTTCAGCTGTGGGTTATTCTGCTGTCTGAACCCAGCTAAGCTGGGGGTGTGAGGATCAGGCTGGATTCCGTTTCTCTTGCACTCACTGGGCTTCTTTCCCATGCTTGGCCCTGGCTAGAAAGTAAGCTGAGCTCAATCAAGTCTACGAACACTTAGGAATGCTGGCAGCTTTTTTGAACTAAGTGTGCAAAGTAAACAAACCCTGCAAGTTGCAGGTGCGTTAAGCAGAGGTCTGCCTGAACTCACTTCCTGCCAGATACTCATGCGTGAAGCAGATTTAGGACAGAGAGAAAGCAGGTCAGAGTCTGAGGGGCCAAGCTGAGGAAACTGATCAATTTCCATCTCCAAACAGGATTCCTTACACACCCCTAAGCCAAAATAACAGACCATGAACAGCCTGTGAAGAGAAACCATGGTTTGCTGTTGGGTTGTGCACTGAGGTTGTACCCCATGATTTGCTATCTCAGTTGGGTACAAACCACACAATAACTCATGATTCAATGACAAACCACATTCAACCCGTGTTCAATCTATACTCAGCCCATGAGTGTGGATTGTTGTGTTGTTTGAACCCAGTCAATATGTGCTTAGATCTCCAATTCTTGCCTTAAAACACAATCACCCAAGCATTGTGATCAGCTCGCCACATATGTCTCACCTGAGATAAGTCATATGATGACAAGCCATCCCTCTGATGTACTTCAAGCTCAGCTTGTTGCTGCTGAAGTTGCCTGGAAAGAGGAAAGAGAAGTTTTGGCTGTGGGTGCTGTTGAGACTGCAGGAACATATGGAATTAACAGGAAGCGTATTCAGTTGGCCCAAGTACTTGCCAGTCCAACAAAGAAAACCATGCTGTGTCAGACCTAGGATCCATCTTCTCCAGGCCTCTGTTCATGTGGCAGCCAACCAGGTGCCCACAGGGAGCCCAAAAGCAGGACAGGCATGCAACAGCCCGAGGCTGGCATGCAACCTCTTACCTGTTCCCTCTTCTTCACCCATTGTTCACCTGTCCCCCTGGCTACAAGCAAGAATAGGTTAAAATTAACATACCTTTATTAAAAGCATGCTGGGAAGGGGGCTTAAAGATACCAACAGACCATTCTCTTTGGGACAAGTGCTGTATTCTGGGTCACCTAAGTGAATGCAGGCAAGGCGGAGGGACTAGACTTTCATAATAGTTTTATGCCGGTACTTCAAGGTGTAAAAGATCTTCAAAAGAGCTTTAGATAGTGGAGGGTCTGACACAAGGCAGCTACATTTTTCCAGGTCATCTGCTCTGACAGAAGCATTCCAGGACAACATCTTCCTGGAATCATACAGTATGTTCAAACAAAACGCTACCAATGTTTGCAATTCTGGCTCTTCTACTTTTTCCCTACTTTGCTTAGTTTTAACGAAAATATTAGCAGCAGTAAAATCAATGGCCTATTTATGTGCATCCCAGAACAAAAAATCTGAAAAATGTAAGGCTAAGTAGTTACAAGAAGAACACAGTGCAACATACCAATGGCTATAGACTCTTCCTGACAACAGGCTGCATGCATGCACAGAGTCCATATGTGTGATGCACAGAGACCACAAAAAGGAACACTGATCTGTTTTCATGGCATGGGGATCACATATTTTACAGCCAAACACTTCCAGTCCTAGGGCACATACCTGGGGCCTCCTGAAATTTCCTGGGAGGCCACAGGATTGGTTAGTGGAAAGCTGGAACGCCAAAGGCTGCCCACTCGCAACTGGTCCGGAAGGAGATGTGCTGGCTGCCTCTCGCCCAGAGATCATAGCTGGGCCTCAGAGAGGGAAAGGGGAAGCATGTGGCGGGTACAGGAAGAGGAGGCTAGAGCCAACTGACTCGTGTCAATCTCTACTGGCCCCCCAACCCCACTCCCCATGCTTTATCCAGGTGGCCAAAACCATCTGTCTAGATGAAATATATCGCACAAGCCACAGTGCTGACATAGGCCGCTGCTATCACACCCTGACGATAGAGGCTCACATGCGTCGAGCAAGTGGGCCATAGGATTCCGCCCTGCTAAGATGCAGCTATTTTACTTTGAAAGTGTTATGCTTCTATACCCTCTGCATTCAGACCAAACTGTCTGTATTCTAACAAAAAGGGTTCTGCTTAATAGTTTTCTTTAGCTTTTTCCAGGTTATGTTTGGCCCATGTTCAATGGACTGGGGAAAATAATATAAAAATGTTAAAGATGCATTTTGTCCAGAAAGCTAAAACTGTTTGCTTTACTTTTGCTCCAAAACAGGCAAGGGAGAAGGACAACCAATGAGCTGGGAAGGATCAGGATGGCACAAATCCATGGAAGACCAAGAGTTGCAACACCACCATCATGGATCTGGAAGCATGTGCAGTTGCAGTGCCCCCAGTGGTTCTGATCCCCCCCACCCCCGCCCCACACACACACATTTAAATAACATTACATTAGAGACAATGGCTAGGGAACCTACAATCTTCCTATGTGAGCTTCCTGAAATCTCATCTGAACCCTGAAGAAAGGAAGGAAGGAAGGAAGGAAGGAAGGAAGGAAGGAAGGAAGGAAGGAAATCCAGTTATTTAAACGCACAAGGCATCCCGCAGGGAATAGCCTTAATCCAATTATGAGAACTTGGGAAATAAATTCAAATGCGCAGTAGCCACGGAGCTGACTTCAAAGGAAGCTGACACATTCAATAAAAGGAAGGTGGAATGAATCAGACAGGATGCCAAGAAATCTATGAGAAATCGCTGTACAAACCTCTCAATTCTATGTCTGGTGTCAGGTGCTCTTAAAGAAATGCCAAACAGGGGATCTATTGAAACCTGTAAGGCTGTCTCACATGCATTTTTCTTTACATGAGCATTTTCATGGTTAGCCATGAGGCCTGACATCCAATTAAAGAAATCTTGTTACATTAACCATATGAGCTTCAACTGACTGACTCTGCCGGTGAATAAAAACAATGCTGAGGAAGCAGCCAAACTTCAGTTGCCGATATGTACATTTTGCCCCCTGACAGGCGGGGGACAGGGACAGTGAGCCAGAAAGGAACATGGGAAACACCTCCATGCATGTATTCATCGACGACATGTCCACTGGAACACAGGACAATGTATGCGCTCTTCTTTACCTTCACAGCAAGCCTGTGAGGTAGGTTAGGCTGAGAGAAAGCAGTTGGCCTTAGTTCACCTGCTGAACTTCATGGTGTGAAGAGCACTGTAATTTGGGCTTGTCCATGTCCAGTCATTGTACAACTCTCTAGCCACTATATCAAGGGTATTAACTCGGCACCTTTCAGCTGATTTGGGCTACAAATCCCATAATCCCTGGCTATTGTGGTTGACGCTGATAGGCGTTTTAGTCCAAAACATCTGGAAGTTGCCAACATAGAAACATAGCGAGTCAGAGTCAGAAGGGGATTCCCAGGCTGGAGGGTCAGACTAGATGTCCTGGGAGACCCCTTCTGACTCGCTCTGTTTCTATGTGTTTGCTATTGGTTTACTGGAGCATGCTCTGTGTGGGGCCATTCTTGAAAAGTACTCAGAAACACCAGCAGCATCAAATCATGACCAGTGCGGTCTTAGTCCAAGCCAGTCCTTTGGAGCATACTACCATGTTGCTAGATCGCATTTCTGAGCTCAGTTCCAATCAATGGCTATCAGTTTAATGCTGCAACCCTTTGGAAGCCACATTGCGAGCAGTATCGTCTTCTCCGGGGGGGGGGGGGCTTGTGCGCCGTCGGACGTCTGGGCCTGCAGCTCCAATCGTTTCTCTCCACTGCCTGTGCTGGCTCAGGTTCTGGGAGTGGGAGGGACGGGTCTGCTCATGCAGGGCCCTTAGCAACTGAAGACCCAGGTCATCAGAGAAGGCTCTGCTTTGTGCCCCACCCCTTTTGGAGAGAGCATTGGTGGAAGGAGACACCGAGGGAACGTTTTCCACTGCAGCCCCTGCTTCTGGAACTCCCTCCTCATGCCCCACACTGGCCACCTGTTTCTCTTGAAGTGTTTTATTTATTCATTCTGATCATCTGAATCCTACTCTTCCAGCAGCAGTTTCCTAGGAGGGGCAATAAAAAGTTCATAAAAATTGACCACAGTTAGTCATGGTGGGAAACAGAATTCTGCATGCATGGACTGGGCCCACAAGAAGACAAGCAGACTGATTCTAAATCTGATGAGGAAAGGTGAGCCAGAAGAGGCTGGCGAGACACCAAGGACAAAGGAGTTAGTGGCCATGAAAAAGAGCAAGGAGAGACAGGAGGGGATCCAGCTGTCATCAAATCTCCTGAAGGACAGCCAAGTTGGACCTTCTGAAGCTGTGGGAATGCGGGCTCCCAACAACGAGGAGAAGCAGGGAGGATACAAGACAGGTGCAATTGGAGGCTCAGCATAGAGCCCTCTGAGACACTTGCAGCCAGGGAGGTCATCACGCAGACAGAGCTGCTTTGAGGGTGAAACTTGGGAACCCATGCAGCTCAAGGGCGGGCCATAGCAGGCATGGCCGTGTTTGCAACCACTGCCTTTCATGGTGCCCTTACCTAGGGACAAGGCTCTTGCTAGGTAAGCCTTGTCTAAGACTTCTATTTCTTTTGGGTGCATGGAAAGCCGTTTGTAGCTGGAAGCAAATGCATCAAAGCAATTGACTACAAATATGACCTGATTGCTTGAAAACAAAGGGGGCTGGGGTCAGGGACCCAATACAACCCTGGAGGAGGTTTTCCCTTAGGTTTAATCAAGAGGACCTCTCTTATGCCTTTACCTAACCTTTGATGCCTGGACAGCTTGGGGCTGTCTCTTCTCCAACAGAGAGGGCCTTCTCTGGGGTGAAGCCCTGACACCTGAATATTCTTCTGAGGGCAATACGCCTAATATCAGTGCTGTACTCTTATTGGCACCAGGTTGAAAACCAGGCATTTTGAATTTTATGATAACAGTAATCATAGTAACCATAATAATGCTATTTGAAATCATTTTATGCCTTTCAGTTTTACCATGTTGCTGTTTGATTTCAGGGTGTTTTCACAGAATTACATGCTATGTTTTTATGCACATCACCCTGAAATCCTCTTTGAGTACAGTTTAGCCATTTCTTTAGTATACGTGGATAAATAATGACTAAGTCACTGGAGAACCCCTCTCCCCATGCTTAGCATGGAAGGGGAAGAGACAAAAGGTCTACTCCGCAGCTGGAGACTCTGAGGCCGAACATATCTGGTCAGTGAAAACAGGGCACTTGTCATGTTTTCTTCTGCCTCGAGTAGAGCAAAGTTGACAAAGACAAGAAAGACAGCCGGGCAAGGTTAAATTTCACATAGAACCCTCTTCTGAAGCAAAATGCAGCCCAAATGTTAAACATTCAATGCCATGCAGCTGAGTTTGGAAGGCTGTGCCCAAAATAGTTTTTTTCTTTTTCTTATTTTTATTTGCAGGGAATTGAGTGAACATGTGAACCTGATGTTTAGCTGTCTTTTCACAATGAAACTAGATTTGGAAAGCTGATGTTGCAAGCGAGAAAGGCAAAAACAAGCACTACTGCCTTTTGCAATCATCAGCACCCCCTACAGTTCTTTGAAAGGGAAAAATCCTTTCCCTTTCTGTTTTCGTTTTGGTTTGTCCTTAAACTAACAACTCTGGTTAGTTTAAGGACAAACACTTTTTATATACAGATAGTAGCTAGGACCGATGGACTTGGCAGATGGGTGGACAGGCTTGCTTGCTTGTCTGTGGCTCTCTTAATCAGGAAAGCACTCAACAGGTGCTCCTTTATTACTAAAGCAGATGTGTTTTTTTCTGCTTTGTTTAATAACACACTGCATCCTGAGGCAACAACGTAGGCAATTGCAGGTGAAGTTGAAATAGCCATTAGAAATACCTAACACTGACCTGATATGACTGCAAATAAGAAAGTCTTATGGCAACAATAAAACAATTCAGGTAGGTATTTGAGGTAGGGTCATCAGGAAAAAGTGGTCCTTGGCTTAGTGTTCTCTGGTGGGTACCCTCTCAGAACCAGCATGGTGTCATTGCTGGAGTGTCAGACTTGGCCTTAGGAGATCTGTGTTTGAATCCCCGCTCAGCTAGTGAAGCTCACTGGATGATTTTGGGCCAGCCCTGGATGGTCGGACTAACCTACCTCGCAGGGTTTTGTAAGGACAACATGGAGAAAAGCAGAGCCTTGTGAGCTGCCTGGAGTTCCTCACAGGAGGAAGAAAGGTGGACTATAAAGCAACACGACAAGACTGTACTAGCCCCTTCTCGTGAGTTTAGCTGGTGGTGGCACTCCTCTAATTGGCACTGGGCAGCCACCACGTCAAATTGCCAAAACTCTACGGTGCAGCATTGCCTGAGGCACTGTGGGAACATTAAATGGTGGCTGCTTGGCACTGAACCCCAGCTTTGTTTTGCTTTAAAGTGGGCACCAGGCAAGCATTTGTGGAGTGCCCTGCCACTGGCACTGATACTGCCTGGCAGCCAGTTTGCCAGAGTGACTTGACCAGCCTTGGGATCGGAGATGCTCTGCCAATGCCGGTGAGGGACCCGGAACCATTCAGCACTATCCTTAGCCCATTCAGACACACATGAGCAAAAGCCACCCAGAGCAGCCATCCTATGTTTATGGACAGAGCTCTCAAAAGCTGCATAAGTTTGCAAGAAGAATCAACAGGTGGATTCATAGAATAGTAAGGTTGGAAGGGGCCATGGAGGCCGTCGGGTCCAACCCCCTGCTGTTTCAGGACACCAGGTCAAAGCATCCCCCTCAGAGGGCTGTGCAATTTCTTTCTGAATGTCTCCAGTGTGGGAGAGCCCAGCACCTCTCTAGGCAGCTGGTTCCACTGCCGTATTGCTCTGACAGTGAGGAAGCTTTTCCTGATGTCCAGCCTGAACCTGGCTTGTTGCAACTTGAATTGACTGATACTCCACAACTATGTACAGCTGCACTGAGAAGCTTCTTCCTAAAAAAGGAGGGATGTCACATCTCTTTCAACATTGCTGAGTAGAAAACAACAGCCATCCATTCGCTGGAGACCTGCATGCAGCTCACCACCATATTGGGGCAACAGTAGACCAGGCTAAGTCAACTGAGGATAAATATGACAGAATCCAAGCGAGCCGTGCCCTTTCCTTTCTCTTACAGTGCACTGCAGTGTCCATCAATGCAGCCTGGAAAGGGAGAATCCTGGCACAAGTCAGCACTGGCTAATTTAAAGGCCAGACTTCTGAAGACCTCTGGACAACACAGGAACAAAAGCTTGTTTGTGAATGGTAGATCCTTCTGCTTTTATGGTTTTGCTCACATGCATCGGACCTTTATTTACTGCTACATTTTGAATATGGGTCACAAATCATACCAACAAAATCTTAGAACAGCAGTAAGAAGAACACACAGGAAGGAAATCTCAGGCACAGAAAACACTTAGATAAAAATAACATAACAGAGCACTGACATGAAGATGTGGGGGGGGGGATTAAAAAACAAACAAGCAAACCATAAAGTTGAGCCCTAAAAGCTCCCAAGTCCCATGAGACAGACTGAAAAGCAGGGCTTTAAAAATTAAAAGGGAAATGGCCTGGAAGGCTTCCATAGGTCAGAGTTCACTTTTTGGGGGTGCCACCACTGAGAAGGCCCTTCTCCTTAGTGTTCTTAGTCTGCTGTCAGATAACAATGAGATTTCACCAGGGCGCTATTTATGTGTTATAGCAAAGAAAGATGGGTTGAAAGACAGCAAGGTTGCTTGTGATCCTTTCAGAGGCCCACTCTCTAATCCAACATTTTTATCATGTTCATCACAAGCTTGTTTTGAGTAAAAACAAAAAGGTTTCCGTTTCTCCCCTTCTGATCTCATGTGACTCCAGTTTCTTGATACTTTGTGAGAAGGGAGAGGAAAACTACCCATTCAAGTTCTTCATATTATGCTTAATTTTATAAATCACTAACATGTCACCTTTAACTCACTATTCTATTTCTAAACTAAGGGCAGAAAGAAGATGCTAAACCACCTCCTGCCTGCTGCAGAAACTCCTATCAGCCTCCCAGGTCATGCAGATTGTGCTGGAATGTGAGGATACCTGTGTTCAGAAGGGCCTATTCACACGTTGCATTTTAAGGCAAACATGTAAGATCTGTTGTTGGTTTTTCCCCCAGAGAGTACATATAAAATCTTAGGTGTGAATTAAGAGAAGCGCATGTTTAGAAATACAAGGATTTCCTTCCTCATTCCTTGTCAAGTGTACACTCAAACCTGTCACACAATGTGTGAAATGGCTTGAACGGCACAGATGTGAGTCCCTTCACAGACTATGTCACTTTGGCATAGGCTTCTCTTTTCCCCTAATGAGACAAAGGAGCAACTGAAAACAAGGATGCAAAAGCAGAGAAATGCAAGGAGAGCTTAAATGTTAAGGCCTGAACACATACTTGACATTTGTGTTGGTGCAAATGATATATTCAATCTCATCTGAATATGGATTCTGGAAAGTGAAGCTGCTGGTCCTGATTAGCATCCATTCCCGATTCTTGGTGCGGAAGCGATACATCACAGAGAGCACCTGGCCCTTCAGTTTGACCACCTGCAGACAGAGAAAAGGGGGCATGTGTACCCATAAAGAAGTGTATCAACAACTGACAATCCTTTTATAGCAGGGTGGGCAACTTGTGGCCCTCCAGATTTTATGGCCTACAATTCCCCTCCCAGCTAGGGCTGATGGGCCATGCTGACTGGGGGTGATAGGGGTTGCAGCCAGAGCCATCTGGAAGGCATCGAGTTGGAGGAGGCTGCCCCAGTTGATGAGGAAAGCCGTCTTGGCATCCATCTGGTGTCCTCCCTTGTCACCTACGGGAAAATGGGCAAAGGAAGGTTCGGGGTGCAGCTCTCGCAAGTGCGTACAGCCAAAATGGGCTGCTTGTGGGTTCTCCACCACGCAGCATCCCTGAGCTACACTTCATAATTTACCGAATAGTGAGTGCGTATTTCTTATGCCTACAGCAGCTGTTTTGTTTCTTGTCTTTGGGCGATGGGGCTACACATTTGCAAGGTATGACAGGCTTGGCACAAAGCCTCTAGCGGAAAGGAACCAGCTGTTTTCCATCCTGGTATCCTCTCCCCAGAGATTTTGCATTAATTTTGAAGTGCAGGCACTCGGTGTGAGAGCCTCCACAATGCCACCACCCAAAGAAAATCCAGAAATTCAGCTGTGTGTGTTGATCCATATCTACAAACTAGTTCCAGTAGTTTTCAACTCTACTGGGGGCAGGTCTTTCGTAAAGTTCATGGGACTTAATTGCCCATTCCAGACCAAGGCACTCCAAAAATACTTTGTATCACAACAGACTAGAATATATTGTTTCTGGGAAAATTAATTTTCTCCTACTACTGTAAGAACTGCAGCTAAACTCCAAGAGAACGGAAATTCTAAGGGAGGTGGAAGTACATCAGAACCAGGACTGAGAGCTGGGACATTGCGACACCACTACCAGCTCACATCCATGTGCACAGGGGTTTCCAAACAGCCCCCTCCCATCTTGTTCTTCAAGGGAATTGAACCTCCCTCACTGCAGAGACATTACCCTGCCGGCAAAAGTGCATAAAGTCAAGGTGGTGGTTTACCCAGTTGCAATGTATGGCTGTGGAAGCTGGACCATAAGGAAGGCTGAGCGCCGAAGAATTGAGGCCTTTGAATTGTGGTGCTGGAGGAGACTCCTGCAAGTCCCTTGGACCGCAAGGCAATCAAACCGGTCAGTCCTAGAGGAGATCAACCCTGACTGCTCTTTAGAAGGCCAGATACTGAAGATGAAACTCAAATACTTTGGCCACCTAATGAGAAGGAAGGACTCCCTGGAGAAGAGCTTGATGCTGGGAACAATAGATGGCAAAAGAAGAAGGGGGCAGCAGAGGATGAGGTGGCTGGATGGAGTCACTGAAGCAGTCGGCGTGAGCTTCAGTGGACTCCGGGGGATGGTGGAGGACAGGAAGGCCTGGAGGAATGTTGTCCATGGGGTCGCGATGGGTTGGACATGACTTTGCAACTAACAACAACACTGCCAGTTATGACTACATATGAGTGTATCCTACTCTCCCTCTGAGGAACTCAGCAAAGGCGGATTTATCCCTTTCTGTCTTCACAACCATTAGTAGGGATTTGATGGCTTAGTGGGGATTTGGAACTCAAGATCTCCCTAAGGTAGCCGTGGGCCCTACTTTATAATGGGCAGCCCCTGCTACTCTGGTGCCCCGATTTGAAAAGATGTCCAATGCAAGTTCATTTTAAAGACAACGTATGCTAAGAAGCTGGGAGCACAGGGGGACTCTGAAGTTGCACATCCAGAGGTAGCAGCAGGTAGAACAGAGGCGGTCCCCCTGGCACTCTCATCCCTATGGCGAGATTTCTCTTTACACTGTGCTAATTGTTTCTAAATTTACATCTCTCTTCATATCTGTATCCATCCATCCATATTTAAACTTTTATCTTTTACATTTTTCTGTATGAATTTTATATTTGCATATATTGATTCTGTGGTCAGTGTATCGTAAACAATAAACTACTCCCATATCTATCCATCTCTTCATTATTTCTTTATTCCACTTCTATACTGTCCCTTTGGGCAGTTATTATATGCAAATGTCAAGAAATTGTGTGTCCTCGTTTGCCCTCATTTTTGGTGAAGCACTTCATCTTTTTTTACAATGAGTAAGTCACCCCCCTCGGTCCACCTGTTCCAAGTATGGTCCCTTTTCCATTCAGCTAAACTGATTCTCTGCTTTTAACTGGCTACAGGCAAAACCCTATGACTATTTGGACAAGCATCCTGGGATCTGCAGAATTTGCTTCTGCTCACACATGCAGAGAATGGAGCCCTAATAGATCTGACTGGTGAACAACTGATGAACTGGGAACTCAAGATATAACAGAAAAGGCTGACGTGGAAAGGCGAGAAATACTTTTACAGTTCTCAGAAATTGTGAGCCTGGGGAAAGAAGAAAGGGGAGGTAATGTTTCACTCAAAATAAAGCTTTTGCTTAAATATCATGAGCCATATCCTTTCAACAATAACTCTTCATTGACACACCCAACACTGGGCTCACATGTAAAATGACCAGCAGAAAATGTTCGTAAAGGATGGGAAGCAGCCACCCTCTCCAACATTTGGTGGAGAATTTTATTCGTTGTTCTTGAAGTACAATTTTTTTTGTGCAGACTTAATTTTTCCCACCCAGATGAATGACTTAACTTTGCCAGGAAGTAAAAACCCTGAAACACATCCTGGAAATGGGCCAAACACTGCAAAATCCCTCCCTATATCAGCTTGCCCAGCGTAGTTCCTGATAAGGTCAGCAATTTGAAAACGTCCAGTTTTCACTGGCTTTACTGCACAGCCATTCATCTTGTGGCAACATACCAGGCACCAGGGCCTTTGAGAAACCCTTGTACAAGGGTTCTGGAAAACAAATCACAGAAACAGATACATAAATTCATAGGGATGTGTGAACAGTCATTTTGTGGGTAGGGGTCCCTCAGATTCCCCAGGGCTGGCTTTCTGGACTTGTGGCTGGGAGTCTGACTTCCTGGCCAGCACACCAAGTGCTTGTGCAGGTGCCCCCCAGAAGCGAGCCCAGGCGAACGCAGTGCAAGCAACATCCCTCTCCTGCTTGTAATGCACATGCTGCAGAAGAGGGCTACTGGCCATGCACCCAGAGTTCCACGGGCATCTGTGGGTTTCTTCCCAGCTCAGCTCGCTTTCTAAGCAAGGGCTGAGTAGGAGGAAAAGTCTGGCAAACAGAAGAGGGCCGGATTACGTGGAAAATCACCAGAACCCTAAAATCTATATTTAAAAACCTGATTGCATCCCTAACTGCAGCTATGCAATATCTAAGATCATCTCCAAAGGTCCTTCTCCAGGAGCTCCCTCTAAAGAATGTGAAGAGAGAAGCTACTTGGGGAAGGGCCTTTTCAGCAGTGGCACCTCATTTATGGAATCCTCTCCCCAGGGAGCTCTGCCTGGTGCTGACACTGTGCATGTCCTGGAGCCAGGCAAAAGCTTTTTTTTATTCATTCAGCATCTTCATGTCTAAGCAACATGTTATTAATATCTACAGCCAGGTCTTTATTTTCAGTTTTGATTCTTGTTTTCATTTGTTTTAACTGGGATTTTGTATTTATTAATTTGTTTAATTTCATTGTAATTTGTTTTGTTGAGTTTTACTTATTGTTTAAGCAGATTGTTTTATTGATTGTTAATCTGTTTTAATACATTGTATTATGTCCGCTTTTTATTGTGTGTAAACCATTCAGAGAGCCACCATGGCTGAGTGAACAGTATACAATTTTTAATAAATAAATAAATTTGGGGGTGGCACAAATTGCATATTCGCTAGGGATGAGTATCTAAAGTGAAGGATTTCTGAACCTTTTGCAGATTCTCAGGAGAGGGGAATTTGGAAAAAGTGACGCTGTGTGCATGGCACCGTGAGTGAAGCCAACCGCCAAGAGCAGGATGCCAAAGGGAGCAGCCGCCGGGACCACAGCCGAGCGCACAGTGGTTAAGAGCGACGGCTCGGCCACCAGAAGGAACAGCAGAACTGCCATCAGTCTGTGAACCGGGAAGTCGACTAAGCAATTTAGGCAGGGTTGAGAATAACTCATGAAATGCCTATTAGGAACACCCTGCTTTCAGAAATTCGACCAATAGATATCCTGGATATGTGCTGTCACTCTTTGGCAAGGCAAACATACTTGAGGGAATAAACTGAGAAGATTTTGCACACTCCATATATAACCTTTTCAAATTAGCTATCAGCATTTTGACTAGGAAAATGCGAAAAATGCATTCCAGGAATGGGTCTAAGGTAATATGATTGGCTGTTAAGCATGGCAAGAGACGCATCTGGAACATGCCAAACTGTTTGGCAAAAGACATGCTGGTTCAATTGAAATCAATTTGTCTTACAAGGACATGTATCCAGATAGTGCTCTGGAAACCTGAAGAATTCCATATGAATTACTTCCATATGCTCATGTGTTACTGCCGTAGAATCTGAATGCTCATTTGAATCATTTGCATCCAGAGCCAAAATGTTCAGGAGTTGTACATTTATTTTTGATGATTTAAAGTAATCAGTGAAAGAAATCAATTATGTAGCATGGGTGGTATTTTCTGAGCAAGTTAATAGGCAGTGAAAGTATGTGGAACCCATATGCACAGTGGCTTCTGCAACAAGAGTGGAACCAGCGCCACACGTATCTGCAGATCTTCACCTTTTCTTTGTTTTGTTAAGCATGGTGGGTGGTCCCATAGGGGAGGGTCTTCTTCAAGGTGGCACCAAATGATGGAGCTCTGTCTATAAGAATGACTGCCTCGTTCCTTCTCTTTCAGCCTCTATGGATCTTTTATAAAAGCGGCTTGCAAGGTTTTAAAACCTGTTTCTGCTGCTGAGTTTTATTTCATTTGGATATCATCTAAAATTTTGATTTAAAAATTACAGGAAGTCTTGGAGGTTTTACATATAGATTTACCCCTCATACTTAGATATCATAACTGAAGAAGCTAAAGGAGCAATCCTATACACATTGAGAAAGAAAAAGCCCTACACCTCCCTTAGGCATAAAAATGTCCGTGGCGGAAGATGCAAGAAAACTGAATTAATAAGTCAAGCTTTACCTGTTGGAAGCTCTCTCTCAAATGGCTTTGATCTTCTGGATGGCAGAATTCTAAGATGTCTTTTCCCAAAAGGTCCTAGTAAACCATCCACAAATGAAGAAAACAACAACAGAAAAATTATAATCCATTCTGCAAATTCTACAGAGTGCTAGAGGCCCAGTATGGATAACCATGTATCTTCATTAGTGGTGCAGTACTCAGAACTCATCTCTCATGGTGGGTGGGGTCAGATTTGCCCCCCCCCCTCAAGAACTCCATGGAGCAGATAACAGAAGGGGGCATGCCTAAGCCCTGTAGGGTAATGGTCCTGATGCAAATACTACTATTTTGCACTAAGCTGTCTTAGGATCAGAGAAAGCTGATCATGTTTTAAACTCGGTAGTGTGGGTGCACATGAAGGATTGGAGGGATTGACAAAGTAAGTATTGGGAGTAAATTCAATTGATCTCAGTGGGAAGCACAGGGCTTTCGACCCTACATCTTAGCATGGTTGCTGTTCCATCTTGGGCTGTGCCTCTTTTTTAGCAAAACAGATAAGGAATTCAAGCTCCCAGGGATTCCAGCTTCCATAAGAAGAACGGACTAACCTGTGGCTGGTAGCCAATAACACTGATGCATCTCGGATCGACAAATGTGATTATTCCATCTGAGTTGTGTCTGGACAAGAATTCAGTGGGGACAGACATTCCATTCATGTCCATGCACACTGGAGAACTTGTTACCTGGGAGACAGAATTATGGATGTTTAATGTCAGGAAATGATAATCTTTGCTACCATCACCCCCACCAAACTGAGCTGGCTTCCTGCAAGAATAAAATTACCAAGACAGGCCTCACTTTCTAAATAAATCAGACATTGCATCAATATGACCCTGCCTAAATATGTCCAGTTACTTGGTCCCAAAGAGAAGAAATTGACTTCTTGAATGGAAAGTCCGTTGGTCTTTGGTTCTGACTGAGTGGAGAAGAGGCTACCTCAGAACTGAGGTTTAAGTGGGTTGAAAGCTGCTACCTGTGATTCTCCAGATTTTTGGCCTACAACTCCCAGCATCCTCACCTTTGGCTATGCTGGTTAGGGCTGATGGAAGTTGTAAGCCAAAACACCCGGAGGGCCTCAAGTCCCTCCTCCTCCTCCTCCGTGATTTAAAGGAAACCTATTCAGTTCTAAGGAATATGGTGGCATCCAAACCAGCAACAGAAAGGAATGCCTAGTAAGGGGCACAACTCAATAAAAAGATTTCATTCCGAGTGTTTCTAAGTTTCACAGCATTCAGGTGCCCTAGAAACACAACACAATTAGTAAAACAAGTTTCTAACTGTGAAGCTATCTGCTTGCTTAAAGTCTGATTTATTTTCATGTAAATCTCAATTCCCAACAAGCATGCTAGCAGGTCAGAGAAGGCTACTTCAGAATGGCATTTTAAAGCTTGCAAGCTGATTTGGAGCTTTCTTGGAAAGGCGCTCCTGAGCACTCCCTGAACACCTCGCCCTTTAATAAAGGGAGTTTGAGCACCAGCTCCCATGTCACTGTGGGGTACAGAGGCTAGTGGTGCTCCTTAAGCAAGCAAGAGAGCAGTGGTAATCAAGGGGCCCAAAAGAGTCTGTGCTCCAGTTCAGACTTCATCAGAAACCATGATCTGCTGTTCTGTGATCAAGACAGGCAAACATCTGCTCTCCTTCTCTTTGGGGAATCCAAGGAAAAGATCAGAAGCTTCTGCTTCTGATTTTAAACAATCCACCATCTTCCATGATGTCTGAACTTGGGGAGTGATGGTGGGTTTATTCCTCCAAAGTGCTAGGTATTTGGAAAATCCAACCATGCCAAAATACCAGCAAGTCTTTCAAGAGCCAAATTTAACTGGCTTCCATCTACAGTTTTAAGTGGGTGTTATTATGGTGTGTAATATGAAAATCGACTATGCCCCTGTAGGAATTGAAACTCTGGAGCACTTCCTTTCTGCATGCAATTTTTATGGGAATGAGTGTACGAGACTCCTTAACCCTGTAATGAGTGATTTCCTGGGTAGGACCCTCAATTGGTATTTAAAATATTTCCTAGCTGATATGAACAAGTTCAAAACAGAATTAGTGGCCAAGTTTTTTCCATCAACATAGATGATCCTTGCCTCTGTTGTGTAATACTTATTTGTTTGTAAGTCACCCCCATATAATTTATTTAACGGGTTTTTTCTCCTTTGAAAGGAGCTTCTTCTGGGTGTTTTGGGTCTGTGACTGACTGAAGTAGGGTCTAGTGTGAACTAGGCAGGATCAAACTGGTTTTGCAGCCCTCATACCACCACCAAATCGCGACGATGACATTCCTGAGGACTAGGTGTTCTACTGCATGTGCTTCAGGGATGGTGGGTTGTAGCTCACCATTATTATTATTTATTATATTTATATCCCACCTTTCTTCCTTTTCAGGAAACTTAAGGCATTTCTCCTCCTGCTGCTCTCAATCTTATTCCATAGCACCAACCCTGTGAGGTAAATTGGGTGAGAGCCTGTGACTGGTTCAGAGTCACCCAGTGAGCTTCCTGGCTGGAAGGAGACTAGAACCCGGATCCCCTGAGTCCTAGTCCATGCTCTCCACCACCACATCACCTTGGTTCTCTCTTTTGGCAGCTGTGAGATGGACCTTGGCCCTCAGAAGAGTAATGATCGCACACAGCATGTTACAAAGACATGGTGGGCTTTGTGTCTGGGCTACAAGCAAGATCTTTCTCTACAGCCTCTCCTCCACACCCTGCAGTGCCAGATAGGTTTCTCAGGCACAAACAGCACGTACAGGGTTTCCTTCTTCGCCTTAAAAATGGTCCCCAAGCAGCAACAGAGTCAATCGGAGGGGCAAGGAAGTCAGTGGCTCCCTGCTGGATGATTTATTTCCTGCAGGGAAGAGAGTTCATAATGTATGGCCCACGTCCCACGCCACCAAGTTCTTTGTGATTAAAGCTGCCCCTCTCTCTTTGTATACTGTAACCTCCTCTGTCACTCACACTGTTCCTTATGCAAGAGATATTTGGTAACTTTTGTGCAGCGAATAGTATTCTGGACAACAGCTTATTTTGGCAGCTGGATCAACTGCCAAAAAAAAGAAGAAGAATCTTGCTCCCTTCATCTCCACCAGCTTGGAATTTTCCAGCTTTGAATGGGATGTATGATTAAGAGTATAATACAAAGATGTACATTGTATTCACAAGGAAGTTAGCTCTACTAAAGTCCATGGATTTCAAGCAGGGATTGGGACATGTGGCTGCCCAGATGCCACTGGACTGAAACTCCTCTCATCCCTCACTGCTAGGGTGATGGGAGTGGAAGTCCATGACATCTCCAGGGCTATATCTTCCCCAACCTTGAAGTACAGGCTGAAGGACACACACAGTGTGGTTTTCCACTTGGTATGTACCATTAAGTGTACACCTACAGAAGCCAATGGGAGACGAGACATGTCCTAGTCAAGGGTTCAGCTCACACAGTCATCCAACACGTGGAGTGGGGCACCAGCTATCCTGGCACCCTGCTAATCCTCTTTGGGGAGTCTAAAGAGGGGAAGCAGCTCTGTCTTGATCCCAGCGACCTTATGATGTAAAACTCTGCACTATTGATGCAATTGACAAATTTATTTATTTATTTAGTAAGAGTTTTTGTATGTCATCCCATCGCTTATAGCCTCGGGATGGCTCACATAAATAAATAAACAAGATGCAACATAATACAAAATACAATTAAAATCCGGAAACACCCTGGCTGCACAATTAAAACCTATAAATATTAAACGTTATTAAAATATTTTAAAATAAAAAAATAACAAAGGCAGGGACCTTCTCTCAACCACGTCTGATGCTACCACTAAATGTGTTCCATCTTCTGAGAAGAACAGCCATAGCTCAGTGGTTAAGCATATGTTTTGCGTGTAGAAGGTCCTAGGTTCAATCCCCCACATGTGCAGTTATGGCTGGAAAATGCAGGTTTCCCCAGCCTGGTGTCCTCCAGATACTTGTGATGTCAAATCCCAGCATTCTTGACCACTGGCCATGATAGCAGGGGTTGATGGAAGTTCAAACCCAAAACTTCTGGAGGATGCCAGATTGGGCAAGACCAGTGCAGAAAGTAAATCACACAGACCAAACTTCCGTCCTAAGTTCCTTTCTACATAGTGGCATCTCGGCTATGTGAAAACACCAGAATAACACCACCTGTACAGGTAGCAATCACATAGCACATCAAGCTGCCCACCGTGAACTAGGATCTTTTCATGGTTTCAAACAATCATTGGCAAACCCACCTTTGATGCTAATGAATGCAAAAATAGCTGCATTAATTCAATACATGGATTCAGAACAGGTATATTAGCAAGTTTGTACAGTGCATTTGTTGGATTTCTACCACCATCTAACACCAGTGGTCCTAAATTTAGTTGGCCTTTTCATTTCAACAATCCATGGAATCCATTCGTGACCAGAGAAGTTCCTTAGCATTAAAACATGTCTTTACCTGAAGCCTCCCTATTGCCACCAGACAATATTTGCTGCCTTGCCCCACCTCGGCATCTTCTTCCGGTATAGTCATTCCTAAACCCCAAAAATAAAAATGCCATTGTTATATCTATTTAATTCATTTATGGCACCTCTTTCCACCAAGGGAGCAAACAACACCCAGATTAAAACCTAAAACTTAATTAAAATATAACATAGAAACCTACAAATTAAAAACACAGGAATAAAACCAACAAACAGCCCCAGTTCAAAGCCCCTGCAAGGAGAGACTGGCCTATGAGCCAAGAGCCTCCCTCTCTTCTCTGGACAGGGGGTTCCAGAGCCAGGGAAGCACACTGGGAAGGCCCTCTCTTGGGCCTCCAACCAGCAGACTTTGAGGGAGGTGGAGCTGACATAAGTAGTAACAGTGTGCTTTTGAAAGCACTTGATTACTTCGGGAGGCCTTTTGTCCAAAGAGCAGAGGACTGGGCTATGCATGACTCCCCCATTTTCCTCACGACAACGCTACGAGGCCTGCCAGGGAAAGCAAGCCGATTTACATCAGTCTTCCCCAACTTGGAGCTGCCTCGATGTGTTGGAGTGCATCTCCCAGTCCAGTCCAGTCCAGTCCCACGCATCTGGAGGACACCAAGTTGGGTAGGATTGATCCGGATTCACCTGGCAAGCTGCAGGAGGCTGAACCAGGCTTCCTCACTCCGTGCCCACGTCCATTTGCAGCCCCCACCTCTCCAGCTGGATAGCCTCTGGATCACCTCTGGAGGTGACCTGATATTGTCCCACAACCTATTCACACCAGTGCCCAACAGAGAACATGGGAGGAAGATGTGAGGCCAGAAGTGCCGCTCCACCTCCTCTGCAGCCTCCAGATTTTCACAGGCGGGACACCCTCAGCGCACCTGCCGTCTCATCGGTTTGGCCACCGTCTGCCCCTGTCCCTCCCCTTCTCTCTCATCATTGCTGCCACTGGCTTTCTTGATAAGCAGAAAGCTGGTAAGAAAGGAGGCACGGCATCTCCTCCTCCTCACAGCCATTGCACTGGCCAGAGCAAGAGGAAGGGGAACAAGCGGGTTGCGGAGGGGAAGAAGAGGAGCCAAGGGGCCTCGTGTCCGTGGGCCCCTGCTGGGGCGGGACACAAGCCTCTCCTTGAGGCTGGCGTGGCTCTTCCGGCTTCACCAAGCCATTCCATCCTCTGTAATGCAAGAGATCATCACAATACATCACAATACAGCAACCACTAGACTATCATAATGCACATTAGACTAAATGCACCCTGGCCTGAACCTTTTTTCCTCTGAATATCCATAGGAACTGGCAGGTGAAGGAGTGTTTATTTATTTAGTATATTTATGCACTTTTCTTTCTCCTGCTCCAACTTTTTTACAGAAAACTGCACCCAAAGCTGCTCACAACAGACACCAACTTATCAAATGACGACATTCAAAAGAGGAAAACAGGGCAATTGGTTGCAACACAATTTAAAAAAACCAGACCACAGAATCTAAAATGAATTCACTATTAGTATGAAACCAAGGCCAAGCAAAAATAAAATCAAGAGGCAACCCCCCGAAATCAGGAGTCCACATTTCCATCGGTTGGCTTGCTCCGCTTTCAAGCACCCTTCCCCACATCCCTCCATGTGCGTTGGACTACAGCTCCTATCCACAGCCAGACACGATTATGTTTTTCAACCATTTTTGATCACACCCTTTCTGTTTTTGAAACAGTTCCGTTCATACCCCGGGTTGTTTAATTTATTTTTGATGCTTGTATGCCCTCTCAGAGGCCCTTGTTAAGGCTGAAAGCCATTTTACAGATGCATTTCTTAAAAATATAGTGACACTTCCGACGCTGTGACCTTTTAAGAGCTTTTGCTTAGCCCTGCTTCATTAGGACAGTGGTTCTGTTTGCTGTAAAACCAGGCCTCTGTGTTTTCAAACCAAATCAGCAACATATTTTGACATACAGGAAATGAAAAAGCAGACTGAAAAATGCGTGGGCATTTCATTATGCTTTATTTGTTTTCAACCCTTCAGTGGATTTAATGTTATAAACATGAAAAGAATAAAAAAGCATGACAGAAGACTATTCTTGGTGCCTCAAGATTGCGCAAATAGTGTTTTTGGTACACAAGTATTATCTACCTACTGAGCTCTAACTCTTTAAGTAATCAGATTTCCCAAACTGAGTTTTAGGGCCATAAACTTCCTAAAAATGCTTCAGTGATTTTAAGCTATTTAAGGCCTGTTCCCCAGAGACTTTTAGATGCACGTCACACAAGAGGGATGAACCACACTGAAAAACAAATTTTGGTATATTAGTCACGTTAATTAGAAAGTAAGCCAGAGTTTTTGAAGCAACTGAATTCAGGCGATTTAAACCTCTTCTGCTTGAGCAGTGGTGGTGCATTTGGGTGTTTGTGTGCATAGAAGGTGCTGAACCTCAGGGTGAGAGCCAGATATGGCCCTTTGCGTTTCCCAAGATGGCAACAGCCTCCTCCCCTTAACCAGCTATTATTTGGTTTTCCACCATCTTTCCTACCCTTTCTAGAAGGCTGAAATACCCATTAAGATTTAGTTATTGGCTATATGTCTGTGGAGACACATTCAATCACTCCCTTGGCCAGTAGGGTCTGTACTTTTGCCACAAGGGAAGGTGAGGACATGGTGGAACTAACATGGCCTCGGGGTAGGAGAGTGTCTAACTCGATTTTGTACCCTTAACAGAGGACCCAGGACTCCAAGGTGATGGACTTCCTGGTGGAGAGGAACTGGGAGAGGTGATCTGTGAATGTGACAGGGAGTGAGGATGCCGGGGGCGGAGGGCTTCCTGGACTTGACCCTCAGCATTGGTGCCTGTTGTCTTGACACTGAGGGGAGAATTCTTGCCAGGTCTTGGGTGCGCAGATGCCTTGGCCTTGAAAGAGCGATCAGGGAAGGAGAGACGGTGGCTGGCACCAAGAGGGGCCGCTTGCCATTTACGCGGTTGAGGGTTCTGGGCGAACCCCATATGCTTGGTGGTGGTTCTGGCCTTGTGAAGGCTCCATGCTCTCATCCGTTCCGGCACTGAAGATCCCCTCTCTGTCAAAAGGCATATTCTCAGTGAGGGCGAGGGTCTCCTGAGGGATGGCTGCAGAGCAGAGCCAGGCATGGCGACAGATAGCCATGGCCCCTAGTAGTACCTTTCCATTGCAGTCCACATGGTCCTGGGCCACCTCTAGTTGATATCTGGAGAGCTTCTTCACCTCTGGGTGGAGCTGCTGAGCCAGCAGGTGCCATGCCAGGGGCCCAATCTCGTCCCAGAGGAACATCTGGTATCTGGCCATGGCTGCCTTGTATGTGGGCATGTGAGGGCATGGCGAGGCTGCAGCATAGGCCATTCAGGCCAGGCTATCCAGGAGTCGCCCCTCGCCCACCTGCTGGTGCAGAGGGCTGCTGACAGGAGGACCCCTGCAGCCACTCCTCTTCGACAGAGCTAGGTTTGGGGTGCTGAGTCAGGAAAGGGAACGAGTGGTGCATGGCCCGGTATGTGGATTCAATGCAGTGCAAGTGGGAGGCCCCGTCACAGGGGATTTCCAAGGCTGCTGTGCACCGTGCAGCAGGGGTGGAGGAGGGAGAAAGGGGACAGAGCCAAGTGGTCGGAGAGCAGGGCCCTGAACATGAGGTCAACTGTGGGCTCTGTGGGCTGGGAGGCCTCAAGGCCAAGGTCGCTGGCCATGCTCAACACTAAGGAGGTGAAACATCTGCTTCTCCACACGTGAGTCCGGCTCTTGCTCCTGGGCCTGGGTCTTGGGAGAGTGTGGCTGGGGAGCAGGCAAGAGAGAGCAGATGAAGTCAGGGGAGCAACTCTGACCCAAATCCAAGGAGAAGGGTCTATGATGGCTGGACAGCAGTGGCTCTCTTCTTGGGATCAGTGCGTAGAGGAACACCAGCCGGACGGGGCTGCAGGAGCAGTGGGAGCGCCGGCAGGCCTCATGGTTGTGCAGGACGGGTCTGGAATTGGTTGGCTTGGTAGGTTGCCAATAGCGGAGCCTAGAACCTGCATGGCCTCTGGATTCGTAGACTGGGCCAATGTCAGCATCAAAGTCTCTGGATTGCTAGACCAGGTCGCATCAGTGTTGAGGTTTCTGGATTCATACACTGGGACGATGTTAGCTATACTCACAAGCCTTGGAAATGTATTAGCTGTGCTATTGCACCAAACACATGAGTCACATGAAAGAAAGCTATTGGCCTGGAATTAATCAATTAATGACCTAACAGACATGCTGCTAGCCCTTGTGAGGAAAGAAAGACAAGCCAAAACATTACCCAGTTGCAGCTCAGGTGCTATTATTGGTGGGGCTCCATCGTTTCTATTTCTGGCCTGGATAGAAAGACTGTTCTCTGCTTCCTTGCCAATGATTACACAGGGTCATTTGGCACCTTAATACATATTTAAGCAGACTGCCACATCCGTAGTGTTACATTCAGTTCTGTAGGCCTGGTCAATATGGACACCATGGAAGGAACTAAAATCAGCCAAGCATTTTGTGTTGGCAACAGCAGTGAACTCGAGAGACCAGCTCAGCTTCATAGGCCAGTTTGGCCTGGGCAGAATTGGGTGGACAAATCACATCGTGGGAAGGGACTGGCCACCACTGGAGCTGTGAGCTTGCTGTTACTGATGGCAGTGGGGGGGTCGTGGGGCAGCAGCCCCAACTGCTGCTGGTGGCCCGTGCGAAAGGGTTGCCAGCTGCAGGCAGTGCTAAAGGGAAAAGGGCCCACACTGGATCTGTGGACACATCTGGGAATTTGAGAAACTGCTCTGGGGGCCACCACAAAATGGCTCCTGTGGTGGATGCTGCCGTAGGGGCCCGGCAAGTTCAAAGATGTATTTCTGTGTGTCAGGGCTGGGCAGAAGATACAGGGTGGGGCCCGTGACTGAGAGGCTGGGATGGGAATAGCAAGCCAGAGCCAGAAGGGAGAGCAAGAGCAAGGATAAAGGCTAGAAGGGAGAGAAAGACGGTGGCTAGCGGTGGGGGGTGAAGAAAAATAGCAAAGGAGAGGGATGGGGCGGAGAAATGCCAAGGGTAGAGG